GAGCCTTATATGTGACTTGTGGTTTAACACTGAGCTATGTTCCTAGCCCATTATTGAGTGCTTAAGCTAAGTATTGAATCATCTGTCTGTGTAACAAAGCTGCAGATCACCAGGAGTAGACCCCAGACCCCCTAATGTACTGGGAAGAGCCCTTAACTCCTACCTCAAAGGAAATCTCAAAAAAGTCTAGGCCCGGGGGCTGGAGAGATAGCACAGCGGGTAGGGCGTTGGCCTTGCTCGCAGCCAACCCGGGTTCGATTCCCAGCATCCCATAGGGTCCCCTGAGCACTGCCAGGAATAACTCCTGAGTGCAGAGCCAGGAGGAACCCCTGTGCATTGCCGGGTGTGACCCAAAAAGAAAAAACAAATCTAGGCCCTTTGCAGGAATACTGCAGGTCATATCCTCATGGTAACAATTCCCTTGTTTTGTTTTTGTTTGGGGGCTACACCCAACAGTGTTCAGGGTTTACTCCTGGCTCTGAACTCAGGGATCACTCCTGATCGTGTTCAGGGGACCATATGGGATGCCAAGGATCGAACCCAGGTCAGCTGTGTGCGAGGCAAATGCCCTCCCCGCTGTACTATCGCTCTGGCCTCCCGCGGTAACCCTTTGACAGTCTCTTGAAAGTCCCGCCTCCTAGAGTAACTGAGACCCAGGGCCAGGGCAGGGCTCAGAGTGTCAGGCCCCCGGCTTTGCATGTGGGGGCTACAAGATCCATCCCCAACACCACATGGTCCCACACCCCCTGAGCACGGCACCTAGGGGTATCCCTAAGCAACTGGAGGAAACCCAGAAAAACAAATGGCCACATCCTGAGATCCAGGGGCAGAGTCAAGGCACAGTGATAGAACATTGCCTCACACGCGGCCACTCGAATTTGATCCCCAGCGCCCATATGGTGATGACTAAATATTGACGTAGAGGCGACAGACCCGGAATTTTCATTGTTATTCTGTTTGAGGGCCCCCACCAGTCAGTGCTCCAGGGCTTCTCAACTCCATCCTGGTGGCTCTTGAGGGACCACGTGGTACCAGGGATGAAACCCAGGGTGGAACTGAAATTTGAACTTGAGGGTCCCACATTCTACAGCCATGTATGTGCTGGGGCTTCTCCCGGGACCCGCACCCTTACTGCAGGCAAAGGCAACCCTGTGGTCTTTTTATTTTATTTACTTTTTGGTTTTGGGGTGATGCTCAGGGGTTGCTCCAGGTTCTGCACTCCGGGATCACTCCTGGGGGTGCTCGGGGGCCCATATGGGATCCCAGGAATCGACCCTGCGTCAGCCGTATGGATGCAAGGCAAGTACCGTCCCACCATACTATTTCTCTAAACCCCAAACCACTTTCTTGTTGTTGTTGTTTTGGGGTCACACCTGGTAGAGCTCAGGATTTACTCCCGGCTCTGTGCTCAGGAATCAGTCCTGGGGCTTGGAATGGTCGTATGCAGTGCCGGAGAATCGAACCTGGGTTGACCACATGGATGGAAAGCGCCCCTGGCCCCTAGCCCTGCCGTCTTAAAGGCTCAGGGGAGTGGGATCGACCCCAGGACGACCCCAGGATGAGGCTGATCATTCCTGGTGGCCTTGTGCTTTTCCCGTTCTTCTCTTGTGCTCACGGTGGCAGTGAGCAGATATGCTGATTGGCCCCATTTTGCAGCTAAGGCAACTGAGGCAAGTGAAGCTCTACGAAGTTCAGGGACGTGTCTGAAGTTGCCCAACCAGTAAGGGCAGAGTCAGGCCCTGCACATCTCCAGAGCCCCTAGCACATTCCACGGCGAAGCAGGGGTAGCTCCGCCGCCCCACCCAGCGCTGTTTGCATTCCAGCCCGGCACCAGGCCTCCCACCCAAGGGTGAGGTGACAAGAGAGGCCTGTCAGGCACAGGCCAGGCTAGCGGCTGTGCAGCTGGGAGTGTCGCCGAGGTCAGTGTTGGGCCGGGGCTAGGGCTCTTGCCGCGCGCAGTGGATCTCGGGTCTGACCCTCGGCGAGACACAGAGTCCCCCAGACATCACACACCCGCCAGGAGTGATCCCTGAGTACTGAGCCCGGTGGGGCCTCAAATGTAACAACATAAGAACCAAAGGACAGTGTCCTCCCAGCAGCTGTGCAGGGAAGCCTGAGGTCCCTTGCCTGGCTCAGAAAGGCCACAGTCTCCCGGGCCCCGTCCTAATCCCAGGACAAGGCATCAGCCAAGCGCAGACGGTCCGGGTGTCAGAGCAGCTGCTCAGGCTGGAAACTGTGACTGTAAGCTTCCAACAGCGAAACCTGCCCCGAGCTCATGGGCGGGTTGGTCTCTGTGTTGGCCAGAAGGGACGGTCCAGTTTCCAGGAAGAGCTGGGTTCAGAGTTGGCGGTGGGCTGGCAGTCACGGGGGCTTCTAGCGAGAGCCCCCTGGAGATAGGTGCAGCGTCAGGGAAATAAGGTTCCCTGGCACATGCCCTGCAGAGTAGGGCCCTGGGTCCCAGACACAGCACGCAGAGGCGACGGAGCCTCCACAGGGCGTCTGCTGTCCATCCGCTGTCCTCTAAGCGTCACTGCCCCTGCCCTGGGGTTGGGGGGCAGAAGTGAAGGCTGTGGGGAGCGGAAGGAGAGACTGGGGTGTTTCCCCAAACTCCAAACCAGCGTTTCCCAGCCGGACACTGTGGCATTGTGCGCTGAAGGCCCTGTTGGGGGCTGCCTGGACTCTGGGCCTCCACATCCTCCCTGGCACTTCCCACTAGACACAGTGACCTCCCCGCCGACCAGGTGATGACCTGAAGAGTCCCCAGGCATTGCTAGTGTTCCCCAAAGGGCAAAACACCCAGCTGTGAAGCACTCTCTAAAGTCAGACAGACACACAGATACCACAAACACCACACGTCCACCAAACATACACCACACACATCACAGCCACACCACACACACGTCACACACACCACACATCACATACTTACCACGCCCCCTGCACCACAGGACACACGCACCACATTTACCACACGCCAATGCACACAGCACATGCAGTCATAGGTCACACACATCACGTACCTACACACACCTTATGCGCGCCACATGCACACGCAACTCCCATCACAGACACCACACATCACACAACACACGTTCCACACGCCCCCTAACACCCCCCCCCACCATATTCACTACTACAACCCCTGTGTATACATACCGCACATATCCACACATCCTACGTGCACACACATACGTCCCACGCTCCACACCACGTACACACCACGGGCACACACACGCTGCATCACGCCACACACACCAAGCACATACCACACCCCAACCATACATCACACACACACATGCATGCACCACACAGGACATCACACGCACATGCATGAACCACACCCAACATGCATAGCACACACATGCACACACACACACACACACACACACACACACCACACAGACATGTACCACACCGCACACAGACAGACACGTGCACGGACCTTACTCAGAGTGCGCCAGGCAGGGCAGACCAGGAGGAGGGAAGGGTTAAATGAAACCAGATGTTAACCTGGAAAGTATGCGCCCCACCCTCCTGGGCTGCTCGCTGGCCCCTGGGAGGGGAGGGGAGGGCAGGGGAGGGGGGACGGTGTGCTCAGGACCCAGTTAGTCACCGAGCCTGGCAGGCCCCAGGCAGGGGCAGGGCGCTCCGGGCAGGCCGCTTCCTCTTCCTCCCCTTTGTCCAATAATTTCTCTTCCTTGTTTCTCTCTCCTCCTCCCTCTCCTCCTCCTCTTCTTCCTGCACCTGGTCCTTCATGGGGGAGGTCCTGGGAGCACCGTGGGGGCAGCCGCTGAGTCCTCGTGTGGCAGGGGGCCAGGCTGGGGTTGAGGGGGCTCTGCTTCCACCCTGACCACTGTGGAGCCGTGTGAGCTGCTGCGACTGTTCTGTTTTGGAGACCTCCCTGACGTGCGCGGGACTTACTCCTGGCTCTGAGCTCAGGGAGCACTCAGGGTACTTGGGAGCAGCCCTGTGGAGCTGGGGACACTGGCCAGTGCCTTAACCCCGTCCTTCCTGCAACCCCTTTTGTTCGCTTCTGGATGGCCCCGGCTGCTGGGAGGCTGTTCCTGGCTCAGCAAGTGGGGTTGGTCGGGGCGGTGCCTCTGGGGACCATGAGGTGCTGGGAACGGAGCCCAGGGGCTCACACATAGAACGGGGCCCCCCCACCACTGAGGCACACCCCGCTTCCCGGCCCCCCGTGGAGACTAGCAGGTGCTCAGTCCCTGTGTCCATTTCCCCGTGGCCGGGAGCTCGAGGAATCCAGTCCCCGAGTGAGCCAGCGCAGCCTGTCCCTCCCCGATGGGGTCTCAACCCCAAAGCTTCTCCCTCCGTCACCCCTCACGGCAGCCTCCCAAGACAGGTGCCCGTACCGAAGGGTGGACAGGTACAGTGGTGGACAGGGTGACCTCGGCATCCGCACGTTGGCACCCCAGGTGATGAGGCTGCTGTGTCCTTGTTAGGGAGGACCCACACTGCAAGTTCTGGGAATCGGAGCAACCAGATGCCCTCCTCAGCAGGAGGGAAAGGAGACTGGCCGGGCTGGGGGTTCGAGGGTCGGGGGTCGGGGGGGTGGGACCCCAGGAGATCCTCAGCGCTGGAGCACCGGCCTTGCTTCTGTGAGGCTCTGGGTTCAGTCCCAGCACTGTTGTAGCACTGTAGCACTGTCGTCCCATTGTTCATCGATTTACTCGAGCGGGCACCAGTAACGTCTCCATTCGTCCCTGTTGTGTGCTGGTGTATGTAGCCCATTGGTGTCTGCTTGCTCCAGGAACACAAAGTGAGACTCGTTACTGTTTTTGGCATATTATATACGCCACAGTAGCTTGCCAGGCTCTGCCGTGCGGGTGGGATACTCTCGGTAGCTTGCCAGGTTGTCTGAGAGGGACGGAGGAGTCAAACCCGGGTCGGCCGCACGCAAGGCAAATAAATGCCCTATCCACTGTGCTATCGCTCCGGTCCCAGCACTAGCAAGAGAAAAGGAAAATGCTCGAGCTGGGGCAATAATGCAGCAGGTAGGGCGCTTGCCCTGCACATTGCCGACCTGGTCTATTTTTGTTTATTTGTTTTTCTTTTTTTGTTTTTGTTTTGTTTGGGGACCCCACCCGGCAGTGCTCAGGGCTTACTCCTGGCTCTGCGCTCAGGAATTTCTCTTGGCGGGCCTCCAAGGACCATGTAGAGTGCTGGGAACTGAACTCTGATGGCAAGGCAAGCACCCTCTCCGCTGTACTGTCCATGTGGCCACTGGTGGCCTGTTTTCTAACCCCGACACCTCGTATGGTCTGTCAAGAGTGATCTCTGAGCACAGAATCAGGAATAAACCCTGGGTGCCCCCTGGGTGTGGCCCAAAAGTCAAAAAATAATTTTAAATATTAAAAAAATAAAAGAGGGCTGGAGAGATAGCACAGCAGGTAGGGCATTTGCCTTGCATGCAGCCGACCCGGGTTCGATTCCCAGCATCCCATATGGTCCCCTGAGCACGGCCAGGAGTAATTCCTGAGTGCAGAACCAGGAGTAGCCCCTGTGCATTGCCAGGTGTGACCCAAAAGGAAAAAATAAATAAATAAAAGAAAACACTTGTCTGGGGCTTTTGGGCCTTGGTTCCCTGTGCCAGCAGGAGGCATGGGCATCGCTGAGGGATATTTCAGATGGTGACAGCAGAAAGAGCAACAAAGTTTGTGGGGGCCAGGCCCAGGGCAGCAGCAAGACGCACCCAGCCCCAAGACAAGGGACCTGAGCTGTGCGTTTGTACTTGTGGGTCTTTGTTTCTTGCTTTGGTGTAGTGTGTGTGTGTGTGTGTGTGTGTGTGTGTGTGTGTGTGTTTTGCAGTGCTGGGATGGGACCCAGGGCTTCCTGTGTTCGAGGCATATCCACCCCTCATGAGCCAACCCCGTGATTAACCCTTTTGGACTTGTTTTCTGTTTTCCGTTTTCAGTCGGGCTGTGAAGGTTCGTGGAGGCGCAGGAGAGAGATAACACGCTTTAAAGAGTGGGTGCTGTGCTCTTAAAGGCGCTGAGGAGGAACATCTGATGATCACCCTCTTGTTTGTTTCTGGGGTTCACCCATCGGCTTTATTTATTTTGCTTGGGGACCACACCCCGCGATGCTCAGGGTTCACTCCTCACTCAGGGCTCACTCCCATCTTCAGCCCTGCCCCCCCTCCGCTCCATCCTTCAGGCACGAGTCTGGGTGAACACACCCTCACCCCCTCTCCCAGTGTGGCTCCCCAGTTGTGCAGGCTGGGCCCTGCAGACAGGAGTCGGACGCGATTCTGCCAGTGGGACTCTAACAGGAGCCCTGGAAGGAGCAAGGTTTGGGATGAGGACGAGGCATGGGAGGCCCTTCCGGGGAGCACTGGTATGTGTGTGCTGACCTCAGCCTGCAGCCCGCCTGCCAGAGCCAGAGGAGAGGAGATGGAGCCCAGGGCTTCGCATGCAAATCCTGTCTCCAGCCTCTGAATGGCCAACCAGCCCCATGTCGATTGTGTGGTTTTTCTGTATTTGCTTTTGGGCCAGTCATGCCCAGCAATGCTGAGGGGTTCCTCCTGGCTCTGCACTCAGGAATCACCCCTGGCGGTGCTCGGAGGACCACATGGGGTGCCGGGGATAGAACCCGGGTTAGCCGTGCAAATACCCTCCCCTCTGGACTATCACTCCAGTCCTGATTTCTTGTTTTCTATAAGAGCCACACCCAGAGGTACTTGGGGGACTATGTGGTGTTAGGATTAAGAGTGGCATCTCTCATGCCAGGAACATGCATGACCACTTGCAAAGAGCCAGGGGTAGCCTCAAAGCACCACCAGTGTGGCCCTAAAGACAGAAAAGAACAAAGAAAGATAAAGCAAGAAATAAACTAAAAAAAAATATTAATTCTGTAGTGTGTGTACGCAAGTGTGTGTGTGTGTGTGTGTGTGTGTGTGTGTTGCCAGTAATCAAATCCAGGGCCTCTCACATAAAAAGCAAGTGATTTTTTTTTTTTTTTGCCTTTTGGGTCATACCTGGCGATGCACAGGGGTTACTCCTGGTTCTGCACTCAGGAGTCCCCCTTGGCGGTGCTCAGGAGACCATATGGGATTCTGGGAATCGAACCCGGGTCAGTCATGTGCAAGGCAAACGCTGACCCGGGTCTGATTCTTCTGTCCCTCTTGGAGAGCCCGGCAAGCTACCAAGAGTATCCCGCCCACATGGCAGAGCCTGGCAAGCTCCCCGTGGTGTATTTGATATGCCAAACACAGTAACAAGAAGTCTCACAATGGAGACGTTCCTGGTGCCCGCTCAAGCAAATCGATGAACAACAGGAGGACAGTGCTACAGTTCTAGACTAGAACGGGCTTGTTGCAAGGGGAACCCACTTTCTGGACTCCAGTTCAATTTGATATGCATTTCCCGCCATACCAGGGTCTGGAGCGAGAAGGAAGGGATTTGGGAGGTGATTATGTCCAAGGCCAGTGGACGGGAAGGCTAAAGGAGCTCCCGGGGGAAGGGACCCAGGGGCCTGAGGGTCTCCCTGGAGTGAGGAGGGAGGGGCGGGGAGCCAGGGCAGCCTTCCCTGCCTCTCCCTGGCAGTGGGTGCACCAGGGTCTGGGGCCCAGCACTGCCCTCTCTTCCTTCCCCCAGGACACCCAGAAGCCGTCCACGTCCTGCCCCCGACAGAAGACGCCGGCAGGCGGCGGGAAGAAGGAGGGGCCCTGGGCCCGGAAGGAGAGCCTGGGCGCCCTGTACCTGCCAGTGGTGGTGGGGCCCCCGGGCGCCAAGGCCGACAAGCTCCGGTTCACATTCTACAGCCCGCGGTACTCCAACTCCCTGAGCCCCTTCTACACGCTGCAGAAGCCCACCTGCGGCTACCTGTACAGCCGCGCCATAGACCACACCCGCAAGCGCCTGGAAGTACCGCCGGCCAACCTGGCCATGTGGCAGTCCTAGAGCCGCAGGCCCTCCCCTGCGTGTGCCGTAGGGGCCCAGAGGGACGGAGGGGCGCCCCGACCCTGCAGGAGGAGCCGAAGGGGCCTGACCCAGGCCTCCCTTAGTCATTAAAGATGTGTGCTTCAATCCCCTTGAGTCTGAGTTCAGGGCTGCCAGGGGGAAACTGAGGCTGGCAGGGGCTGGGCTACGGACAGTCTGCTGATGTCCAAAGAGACCTGAAGACTGGGAAGGACTCCATGCACGCACCCCGTCCCCTGCACCCGCCCAAGAGGGGTCCCTCCACTTCCCTCTGGCGCCTGAGTGCCCAGAACGGTCCACACAGAACGGTCCACGCCGACCACCCCTTCTCCCTGGGGCCAAACTTTGCACCTCCCCAAATTCTACCCAGGTTCATCAGCTGACCCCCGGCTCCTTTCCTCAGTCATGAGGTCTCTCTCCCGGTTGGAGGCAGCCCCTGGAAAATGGGGAATGAACTCCAGGGAGTGAATACCCCTCTCCCCCACCTTTAAAAAAAAAATAATTTAATTTGAGGCACCATGGCTTGGGTTGTTTTTTGGTTTTTGGTTTTTGGTTCTGTTTGTTTGGTCACGTCCAGCGATGCTCAGGCTTCCTCCTGGCTCTGGACTCAGGGATCACTCCGGGTGGGCTCGGGGTCCATATGGGATGCCAGGGATCTAACCCTGGCCAGCTGCGTGTAAGCGCCCTGCCCGCTGTCCTCTCTCTCGGCCCTGCCTTTATTTCCGAGATGCCTCTAGGTAGGGGATATCTCAGTGGTGCGTTCTTCTAGGACCTGACTTCTTTCCGGGGGGCAGGGGGGGGTCTGTGCCCCACCCCCATCTGTGCTCAGGGGCTGCTTCTGTTTATAAGCTCAGGGGTCACTCCTGGTAGTTCTCAGGGACTGTATCAGGGCGTGGGCATGCTGAGAGCTTAGTCCAGAGGGGAGGGACGGACACAAAAGGAGCTTTCTCAAGTGCAGGGCAAAGAAACAGAGAAAAGGGTCACGAGTGAAACAGGTCCAAGTTAGTGTAGGACACAGCAGACTGGGCTGGCGAGAGCTGAAAGGGCCCTAGTGAGTAGCCTCTCAAATAGAACCCGCACCGTTTGCGCATTACAGTGGTGTGTGTGTGTGTGTGTGTGTGTGTGTGTGTGTGTGGTGTGCACAGTAGGCTTTCTTTTAAGCTAGGGGTTCTTGTGTGTGTGTGTATATGTGTGGTTGTAAGTGTGGTGTGAGTGTGTGCAAACACGTGTGTGAGGTACGTATGTGTGTGGTGTTGCATGTGTGAGAGTGTGGTACATGCACTAGAGTGTGTATGTGCACATGTGTGACCATGTGGCGTGTGCCCACGTGACAGTGTGGTGTGTGCCCATGTGTGGGAGTGTGCATTGCCCGTGTGACCAAAAACCCATTCCCGGTCCCAGTATGAGCAGAAGTTACACGACCACCACCCGCCCACCCAGAGGCTGACGCCAGGCTGACCCCCAAGCAGCTGGACCCTGATCTCGGACCCTTTCCTCCTGCATCGCGCCCGGTGCCCCTGACCGCCTGGAAGGGGTGGGGGTGGGGGAGCACTATGTTTCGAGTAAGCGCTGGGGAAGGTCGCCCCCTGGAGGTACACAGCGGTAGAGCAGGCACGCCGGGGCGCAGGCAGGTAGGTATTGGGACCAGTGACCTTGTGGGGCTATAGGGGACAGAGCTGCCTGCGATGTCCTGTCCCCCCTCCTCAGGCCCCAGCCAGCCCCAGAGGGTCCCTCGCACCAGCTACTCTCTCGTGGGCGCTACCCTCGCACCCATCCACCTCTTCCGAGAGTCGCTGGTGCCAGGTGGGATCTCCCCTGGCTTGCACGCTTGGGAGAGAGGAACCGGGAGGAGCTGGACTCTCTGTTGTTTTGGGGCCACAGCAGGGGTGCTCAGGGGTCACTCCCGGCAGGGCTCGGGGACCACGTGGGCTGCATGGGATTCAACGAGGCTGTCTGCATCTGAGACAGGCGCCTGCTCTGCCCTCCCTCTCCAGCCCCTGGGCTCTTTCTGGAAGGGGTGCTAGGGAGGGTATCTGAGGTCTCACTCCTGCCACATCTGGATAAAGAAGCATGCTAGGCTGGCGACATGGGCTGAGGACCCGCCTGTCCCAAGGCCGTGAGCTCCTTGTGGAGGGAACTGGGGCGTTTCTCTGAGTCAGCAAGATCTGCAGGAACTGCGCTGGACGAGGGTCTCCGGGGCTCATGAACGCCACCCAGTCCTCCCTCACAGTAAATGTCAAGCTCGGGGATCCCAGAGATGGAGCCGGGGAGAAGGTACTCGCCTTGCTCAAGGTGGACCCTGGTTTGAGTTTGATCCCCAGCATCAGATAGGGTCCCTCAAGCATAGCTGGGCATAACCCAAAGAACAAAAACAAAAACAAAACAAAAAATTTAGGCACGAGCCCGGGAGATGGCTCAAGGGGCTGGAGCAGAGGCTTTGCTTGTAGGGGCTCGTGTTCCCCCCTCGACCCACACCTCATGGGCCCCATGAGGTTAATCACTGTGGGGGTAACCCCAGAGCACTGCCAGATGTGGCCCAAACACATTCCACCCTCCTGAAATCAAACCCAAAGAGATTAGCCCAGCAGGCAGGGTGCTTGCCTTGCATGTGACTGACCTGGGTTCGATCCCCAGCATCCCATATGGTCCCCTAGCACCAACCGGGAGTGATTCCTGAACACATTGAGGAATAAGCCCTGAGCACTGCCGAGCGTGACACCCCCCACAAAATACACAAACACAGGCCAAAATAGCAGGGGGAGAGGTGGAAAAAAAAAGTGGGACCACCCACAAAAATGAGTGTCAGAATGCAGCCTTCCTGCTGCTGATTGATTTCCTTTGTTTCTCTCAGGAATCACACCCACCAAGCTCAGCCGGCACCTGCATGTCAGATGTAACACAGTGTCCACCCTCCTCTAGCATTTTTTGTTAGTTTGGTTTGGGGGTCACACCTGGCGGTGCTCAGGGCTTACTGCTACTGGCTCTAAGCTCAAGGATCACTCCTAGCAAGGCTTGGAGAACGTATGGGGTACTAGGGATCGAACCTGGGTGGATCACCTTCAAGGCAAACTCCCTACTGCTGTGCTGTCCTCAGGCCCTCCTCTACTTTCTTTAATCCGTTGTTTTATTCTCTGTGTGTACGGGGTGGGGGTTGGGTGGGGGGTGGTGGGAGAAGAGTTGTACCACACAAGACAGACCTCAGATTTGATTATTCACTCAGCTCTGGGGCAACTCACAGGAGCCTGATATCAAGCCCAGATGGGTTACAAGCAGAACAAGTATGTAAGACTTGTGTCATCTCTCTGGCCCCTTTGTTTCTTTTCTTTCTTTCTTTCTTTCGTTCTTTGCTTCTTTCTTTCCCTCTTTCTCTTTCTTTCTTTCTTTCTTTCTTTCTTTCCTTCCTTCCTTCCTTCCTTTCTTCCTTTCTTTTCATTTTGGGGTCAACCTCAGAGGTGCTCAGGGATTACTCGGGCAGTGCTCCAGAGACCAAGTGCGGCGCGGGATCTTGAGAGAGAGAGGGAGAGAGAGGGAGAGCGGGAGGAAGACAGAGAGGGAGGAAGAGAGGGACAGAGGGAGGGAGGGAAAGAGAGGAAGAGACAGAGAGAAACAGAGAGGAAGAGTGGGACGGAGCAATAGCACAGCGGGTGGGGCATTTGCCTTGCAAGCAGCCTATCCGGTTCGATTCCTGGCATCCCATCTGGTCCCCTGGGCACCGCCAGGAGTGATTCCTGAATGCAGAGTCAGGAGTAACCCCTGTGCATTGCCAGGTGTGACCCAAAAAGAAAAAAAATGCAAGAAACCCTTGCTGGGGCCAGAAGATAGAGCACAAGCCTCAGATGTATCTAACTTGAGCACTGCTCGGGAGGGATCCCCACCAAAAATGAAAAATAAAACATGCTCACAAACCTGGGAGAAGCCTCCGGGGCCCTGCCGGGGCGGGCAGGGAGTATCCTGGCTCAGGGCCCCTGGAAATGCGGAGGAGATCAGGGGCCGGTGCCCGCTGGCTAGACTTCTGCCCCTGCCTCCTAGTCAGTAGATTCTCGCTCCATTCGTGGATCCTCACTGGAGTTTGTAGCTGCAGAGTGGACATTTCCCGCGAGGAGAGAGAGCTGCCACCCCGCGTGGGTCCCTGGGCTTGTGCTTCGAACTTTCCAGAACCAACAGGAAGCAGCTCACCAGCTCACCATGTGCAGGTGGCAGGTTACTCTCTCCCTCCCTCCCTCTCTCTCCCTCTCTGTTTCTTTTTTTTTCTTTTTGGGTCACACCCGGCGATGCTCAGGGGTTACTCCTGGCTTTGTACTCGGGAGTCACTCCTGGCGATGCTCAGGGGACCATACAGGATGCTGGGGATCGAACCTGGGTCGTCCGCATGCAAGGCAAATGCCCTACCTGCTGTGTTATCGCTCCGGCCCACTCTTCCTCTCTGTTTCTCTCTGTCTCTCCCTCTCTCTCCTTCCCTCCCTCTGTCTCTCTCTTTCTCCCTCTCTGTCTTCCTCCCTCTCTCCCTCTCTCTCTGTCTCTCCTCCCTCTTTCTCTCCTGTTCTCTCTCTTCCTCCCTCTCCTCTCTCTAACCTAACCTGAGCACTGCTCGGGAGGGATCCCCCCCAAAAATGAAAAATAAAATATGCTCACAAACCTGGGAGAAGCCTCTGGGACCCTGCTGGGGAGGGCAGAGAGTGTCCTGGCTCTCCTTCCCTCCTTCTTTTCCTCCCTCCTCCCTCCCTCCCTCCTTCCCTCCCTTTCTCCTTCCCTCTCTCTCAGTGTCTGCCCCCTGACTCCTGTTCTCATGCCCTGGAGTGGTGTCGGGGTTGGAGCCTAAGGGGGGATTCAGCCTCCCACAGTGGTAAAGATGCATCTTAGCGGGCGTAGCTGGTACAGGCCTGTGGCATAAGGGGATTGCTCCAAAGCCTCTGGTAGCACAGTCTGGTGCAGGAAGGCTGTACCCGGCAGCAAGTGCCAGCGAGGTCCCGTGGCTGGACCACTCTGCAGGAGGAACAAGCTCTTCCTAATGAGCACCTCAGTGCCAGCCGAGTCGGAGAGCAGGCAGGGGGCTCCCCGAAACCCCGTCTGAACAGGAGCAGGGGTGGAGGGCGCAGGATGGGGCCAGCTCTGCCCTGGGGAGAGGGGATAAGGAGATTGCAGAGGGGCTAAGAAAGCCCTCCCACCTGTCAGCTCAGGGCCTAATCGGGCCTCTGCGCCTTGAAGATTTGTTCTATTTTCGTTACTGTGGGGAGTGTGGGGGTGGTGGTTGGGGGACCAGCTGGCAAAGCCCTGTGGAAGTGTTTCCTGCTGGTGCCCTGGTGTCCTCCGGGTCTGGGCTCAGGTTCCCGCGCCCCTGCTGCCCTCTGCCTCTGCCCGGCTTGTTCTGCGCCTCTGCCCTGTGGGGCCCAGCTTTGCTGAGATCTGCCGGGCGGGCCTGTGCAAGGAGGACCAGGAAACTGTCCCTTTGACCTTTCCCGGTCTCCGGTTCAGCATCAACCATGGGCAACGTGATGGAGGGCAAGTCCGTGGAAGAGCTGAGCAGCACCGAGTGCCACCAGTGGTACAAGAAGTTCATGTCCGAGTGCCCCTCGGGCCAGCTCACCCTGTACGAGTTCCGCCAGTTCTTCGGCCTCAAGAACCTGACCCCGTGGGCCAGCCAGTACGTGGAGCAGATGTTTGAGACCTTTGATTTCAACAAAGTAAGCAGGGGTTCAGGGGTCGTGGGGGACATCCTAGCGAAACCTCACTGTGTGTGTGGGGGGGGTGCGGGCGGTGAACAGGGAGAGGAGAGTGTCTGCAGGAGGAGCGGCTGCATTTTTCTGGGGTGCATGTGTTTGGGGCTGCCCATCGGTGTCGGGGATCACCTCTCCACAGACACCAAGCTCCGCCCGATTCAGTGTGGTCAGAGAGAGTCAGACCCTAGCTTGCCTGGAGCACGCTTTCCGGAGCAGCTGGGGTGGCTCCAGGTCAACGCAACGAGAGACTGTGTGATCTGGGAGCTCCTTGCCCACCCACCCCACCCTGGGACCCCCTCAAGGGTTCCTGAGCCCCTACTAGGTGCCGGGAGCTGTCCGTGGTGCTGAGGGTCTTGTCGCTCGCAGGCTGCAGAGAGGTGGAAAGCAGAGAGCCTGTGGATGGGACTGTGGGTGTGAGCTGGCTGAGTCCCTGTGACCCGGGTCCCCGGGGGGAACGAGGGGGTGCTTGGTCACTGGGGCATCAAGCAACCTCAGGTCTGTCTGAGCTCTGCCTGTCTCCTAAGCGATTGCTTAGATGAGCTTGCTGGGGATTCCTGAATGCTGGAGGGGGCGTGAAGGGGGACCTGAGCTCCAGGGTCCTTGGATCCTCAGTTTTGTCACCCAGGTGACTAGTTTTCTCCATCATGTGTCCCCTTAGCTGTGACAACTCCCCTGATCTAGCCCATGGATGCTGAAGGTATTCGGGAAGTTGCTAGCGAGCTTGACAACATGGCAAATCTTCCATTGTGTAGCAATTTTTTTCTTTCTTTTTTTTTTTGGCTTTTGGGTCACACACGGTGATGCACGGGCTGGAGCGATAGCACAGCGAGTAGGGCGTTCGCCTTACAAGCGGCCAACATGGCCGACCCGAGTTCGATTCCTCCGCCCCTCTCGGAGAGCCCGGCAAGCTACCGAGAGTATTCGATATGCCAGACACAGTAACAACAAAGTCTCCAGTGGAGACGTTACTGGGCCCGCTCGAGCAAATCGACGATCAACGGGAGGGCCTTTACCTTTACTTTACCTTTACGGTGATGCACAGGGGTTACTCCCGGCTCTGCACTCAGGAGTTACTCCTGGTGGTGCTCAGGGGACCATATGGGATGCTGGGAATTGAACTCGGGTTGGTCGCGTGAAAGGCAAACACCCTACCCGTTGTGCTATCACTCAGCGAAGCAACTTAATTACAGTGGCAGAAGAACCCAGGCCTGCAAACCTGTCTCCCCACCCTGCTGGCCTCCACCCTACAGGGTCCCTCACCCCTCAGGAAGGTACAAATATGATGATGCCCTGCCATGTACACTGCAAGCTGGGGAGAGGGTGCCCCCTACCCAGAGGGCCCAGAGTCCATGGTGGGTGAAACCCCCACAGAAAAGCGGCAGCTCAGAGGCTATTTAAAACTCACTTGTATTTCGGGTTAAGAGGCCAAAGAAGATTATAGGCTTTGAGTACAGCATCAAGGGAAGCACCGGTTCTGGAGGGCTTTCTGGGGGGAGGGGGTGCAGGCATGCAAGACTGGGGATGGGGGTACCTTGCAACCTTTCCATCCATGCTCTGAGCAGGAGTGAGGAGAGCAGGGGTAGAACACCCCCACTTACGCCCCACGAAGATCTTCCTCCCTAGATCGCCATCCTTTGGGTGGTGACTTGTTCTCTGAAGGACACTGAAATGGCCATCTCATCAAATGCAAGCCTTATCCTGACCCCCACAGCCCCTCCCGAGGGCCATGGTTTTTCTGGGCCTCACTTCATCAGGAATTCCTTGACAAGTTTTTTTTTTTTTATTAGTGAAACACCATGAGGTACAGTTGTAGACTTAAAAATTTTTGTGCTTGGATTTCAATCATACAATGATCAAATACCCATCCCTCCACCAGTGCCCATCCTCCACCACCACGGGTCCCAGCATCCCTCCCAACCCCCATGCCCCCCAGCCCACCCTGCCTCTGTGGCAGGGCATTCCCCCTTGTTCTCTCTCTCTTCTTTTGGATCCTGTGTTTTGCAAGAGAGGCATTGAGTGGCAATCATGTTCGGTCTAGAGTCTACTTTCAGCATGCTTCTCCCACCCTGGGAGGATCCTCCCAACACCCTTTATTTGGTGCTCCCTTCTATATCTGAGCTGCCTTTTCCCCTAGCATGTGTGGCTGGCCTCCAAGCCATGGAGTAAACCTCCTGGTATTTATCTTGGATATTCTTGGATGTTAGTCTCCTATTTTGTTACTTTATGTTCTGGAAAACAGTATGGACGATTCTCAAAAAATTAGAAATTGAGCTCCCATTTGACCCAGCAATACCACTCCTGGGAATATATCCCAGAGAGACAAAAAAGTATAGTCGAAGTGACATCTGCACCTGTTTGTTCATTGCAGCACTGTTTACAATAGCCAGAATCTGGAAAAAACCTGAGTGCCTGAGAACAGATGACTGGTTAAAGAAACTTTGGTACATCTACACAATGGAGTACTATGTAGCTGTTAGAAAGGACAAGTTTTTATTCATCAGTGCTCAGGGCTATTCCAGGCTCTGCTTGGGGGCTGGTTCCAGCATAGCTCAGGGAATCCTGCAGAAGTGGGGGGTGGAACCTGGGTTCCAGCATGCAAGGGTAGCTTGAGCATCTCCCAGCCCTTCCTCTGGATTCTGCCCACATCTCTCCTGCCACAACTCTCTGCCCTGACCCTCCCCACCACCTCCAGAGCTGCTTTAAACCTCCTTCATTGGGATTAAATATAGTCCCTTCCAGGGGCTGGAGCAATAGCATAACGGGTAATGTTCTTTCCTTGCACAGGACGAGCTGGCTATGATCCCTGGCACCCCAGAGGGTTCCCGGAGCCCTACCAGGATTGATCTCTGAGGATAGAGCCAGGAGTAATCCCTGAGAACCCCCAGGTGTGGCCCCCCCAAACAAACAAACAAATACAACCCCTCCCCCTGCATGCATATAATCCCGACCCCAGGGGTCTATCTCTGCTGACTTGTGACATTAAATCCCATTTACTCTTTTTTTTAAAAAAAAAAATAAATTATCGGGGGGCTGGAGTGATAGCACAGCGAGTAAGGCGTTTGCCTTGCACGCAGCCAACATGGCCAACACAGGTTCGATTCCCAGCATCCCATATGGTCCCCCGAGCACTGACAGGAGCAATTCCTGAGTGCATGAGCCAGGAGTAACCCCTGAGCATAGCTGGGTGTGACCCAAAAAGCAAAAAAAAAAAAAAAAATTATCGGGGCTGGAGTGATAGCACAGCAGGTAGGGCGTTTGCCTTGCATGTGGCCAACCTTGGTTTGATTCCCAGCATCCCACATGGTCCCCTGAGCACCGCCAGGAGTAATCCCTGTGCACCGCTGGGTGTCACCCAAAAAGAAAAAAAAATTTTAAAAAAATAATAAATTATGTAGGAGTACTGCTATTTGTTCAGCCATTGGATTAAGCTGATTGAATTGGGCATGAACTCCACATTATTTATTATTTATTGTATCACCATGAGATAGAGTTACAAAGCTTTCGTGTTTGAGATTCAGCCATACAGTGGTGGAGCACCCATCCCCCCACCAGTGCACATTTTCCACCACCAATGTCCCAAGTATCACCCCCCATACACACATACACATTGCAGTCCTCAGCCTGCCTCTATGGCAAGCAATCTCCCCAATACTCTCTCTCTGATTTTGGGCATTAATTTTGCTCGAATTTCCCCACCACCATTTAATCCTACCTGCCAGAGGCAGACACTAGAAAATATATTTTCCATAGTTCATTTCGAATATCACAAGAGCTCACGCAGCCACGATTGTAAATGTAAATTTCTAGATTGTAAATGCTTGGGTTCCAGAGACATCTCTGTAAGGCACTAATCCATTTTGGGATTCAGTTGGGAGTCTTTGGGCCAGGGCTATTGGTGTGTCAAGATGGTGCCCGGAGGTTAATTGTGGGTGCGACAGCAAGTCTTCTGGGTGGGTGAGGACCCAGGGAGGGACAACCCAGGTCCTCTGCCACCAGGCAGCCTGGAGATGTAGTCCTGGAACCTGCATACCTGGGCCTTGCTTGTGGAAGCTCTTGGTCACCAGGATTCCATCTGGAGAAGCGGGGAGACTGCATCTGCTCCATCTGGGGTGCCCCGGTGATATTGGTTGGGTATGGGGTCTGGAGAAATCTCCGGCACTGTGGTGTCTTCCGGGACTTGCTGCTGTGTCTCTGGGCCAGGGCTGTTGGCGTGCTAAGATCCACACTACGAATTTTTCAGCAGACTATATCTTGGTGATGTCCATCCTGAAACAATGGAGTCAGGCTTGGAGTATGGCGACAATTTTGGATTGTGGAAGTGAGTGACTGCTAGGGACTCTGCTTGGGTGGGCACAGGCCAACCTACCTCCTCCAACTTACTCCAGACTGTTCGGTCATGTATGGGTCTGAGCCTAACTGCGAATTTTGCTCTCTTTGGAGATTTATTGAGGGGTCTCTGTGGCAAGACCCATAGTGGAGCTTACAGGGTGGTGTTGGAGTTGGTTTGTGGGGGTGACTGCCAGTTCTTTCATAGGTATTGAGAAGTGGGGGAGGTACCCCATCCCAACTCTGAGTGAGCTTGTACAGCTGAGCCGGAGGTGGTTTGTGGGTGTGACTTCCACATGCCTAACTTTTGGCTGTTTAATTCCTTGGTAAACTTGTTCCCAAGTTGTTGGGGTCTGACCAAAGGCACAGTGGCAATTTTGGGGTATCAGGAAGCCTGAAGGCAACATCAGGCTGCTGATGCACTCACCCCGCAGGTACAGGTTGACCCGTTGACGGCACCATACCCCCAAATCCCATTTAGTCTCAGCTGAGTTCCGTGAAGCAGGAATTGGGGGGATGGGTCCGTGGGCCACACCTGCCACTGCTTGTAACCTGCTCCCAGCTCTGTGCTCAGGGAACCATGTGGAGATCAAACCAGGGCCAACTGCTCTCGCCTTACTGCTTGCACTCTCTCTGGTCAGGGCAGTTTTTGCTGCTTGTTCACGGCTGAATTCCAAGCACTCAGAACAACATTGGCAATGCAGTTGATGCTTTCCATATTCTCAGAGGCAATGTGAACCATCACAGCTTTAAGGACTAGCTTTGTCCTTTAACCCACGCGTTCATCTAGATGTGAATTTCTGAGCGCTGAGTACCTCTTTGCGGCCTCTCAGCGCTTACGCACAGGCATCCTCTGCCTCTTTCCTCCCGCTTTCTGTTGCTGCTCCTGCTGTTGCAGTGACCCGGGGCCGGGCCCATGAGTATGGTTGTGGAGCTGGTACATTAGGTCATGCTTGCTGGGGCGGTGGGGTGGGAGGGGTGCCCACTTGGTTGTGGGGCTTGAACATCTTTCATGGTGGCATTCAGTGGCCGCACTTTTTTTTTTTGCTTTTTGGGTCACACTCGGTGATGCACAGGGGTTACTCCTGGCGGTGCTCAGGGGACCCTATGGGATGCTGGGAATCGAACCTGGGTCGGCCGCGTGCAAGGCAAATGCCCTACCCGCTGTGCTATTGCTCCAGCCCCCAATGGCCGCACTTAAGCCGTGGTTCAGTTCATGTGTTTTTGTTTGTTTATTATTTTGTTTGTGGGGGGGCACATCTGGTGGTACTCAGGGCTTACTCCTGAATTTGTACTCAGGAACAACCCCTGGCAGGCTTGGGCGATCATATAGGGTGCCGGGAATTGAAGCCCAAGTCCGCTATGTGCAAGGCAAGGATGCTTCCCGCTGTACTACCCTCTTGCCCCCTGTTCATGTTCTGTTTTGTTTAAGTTGTGCTCACACACCCCTGGCGGAGGGGCAGTGGGAATCGCCCACCCTGGCAGCCCTGGGCTTCTCAAAGCCACCCTTGGGACATGTGGGCGGCACCAGGGATCAAATTTGAAGCCTCACACTGACTTGCAAGACAGGTGTTGTGGCCCCTGAGTCATCCCAGGGCCCTGCTACAATCACATTTTGGACAAAAGCGCCCCACCCATCATCTGGAATGGTTCTCACCGAGTTTATTGCATTGTAGGTTGGGGGTCACGAATGGGGTGACCTCGCTGAATGAGGGGTAGTGAAAAAATTAGCAATAGGAAGAGATTTCTGAATGAGTAATGATTCAGAAGTTAAGAGCAAAACTTAATTAATTTACGATCAACAGTAAAACTAATCCAAGGGATTTCTGATTTTCCGGGGGGTGGTGCCCATCTAACGATGTTCAGGAATTTCTTTCGGCTCTGGGCTTCAGCAATCACTCCTGGAGGGGTTCGGGACCATAAGTGGTGCTGGGGATTGAACGAGGTTGGTCAGGTGGAAGGCAGATGCCTTAACCCCTCTGCTAGCTCTCTATCCCCCAGGCATCTTTGGAGGCATTTTCCTGTGATAATTTCTCAGGATAAAGGGGGTTGCAAGTGAAAATCATTTACCATATTTCACTGCACAACTGTCACAGATTTTATGATAGATGTTTTTGTTTTCTAAAAGGGGATGTCATCACTGAGCCACCTCCTTGGGGCCCGGGGTCCTCATCTTAGAGAGCTCTGAGCCCCGACTTTAGCACAGCATTTAGTAAGGAGGTGCTCGAGGAAGTCCGAAGAATCAAGGAAAGAATGAGAAAGTACTGGGGGGCTGGGGCGATAGCACAGTGGGTAGGGCAGTTGCCTTGCACGCGGCTGACCTGGGTTTGATTCCCAGCAACCATATGGTCCCCCGAGCACTACCAGGAGTAACCCTTGTACAATGCTGGATGTGACCCAAAAAGAAAAAAAAAAAGAATGAGAAAGTCTTCCTCCTTACCTCAACCTGCATCTTGACCTGAAGAATTCATCTCATCCTGCTGGGACATTCCTCCCTGCCACTCACCCCATTCCCCACTGCAACTGAGGGGACTCAAGACTGAGCACCCAGGAAGCGGTTAGTTGAAGGGGTGACACACGTGACGGTGCAAAGCAGAACCCTGAAATATGCATATCCTGTGAGTGGATGAAAACTCATTTCTATTTTTTCCCCACAGAAGCTCAGGTGCCATTATTTTATTTTTAATTTTTAATTTTTAAAAAAATTTTTATTAGTGAAACACCATGAGGTACAGTTGTAGACTTACAAATTTTTGTGCTTGGGTTTCAGTCATACAATGATGAGTACCCATCCCTCCACCAGTGCCCATTCTCATCACCACCACTGATCCCAGTATCCCTCCCACCCCCCATCCCCCCATCCCACCCTGCCTCTGTGGCAGGGCAATCCCTTTTGTTCTTTCTCTCCTTTTGGGTGCTGTGGTTTGCAAAAGAGACATTGAGTGGCAATCTTGTTCGGACTATTGTCTACTCTCATCACGCATTTCCCATCCTGAGAGGAACCTCCCAACACCCTTTATTTGGTGCTCCCTTCTCTGTCTGAGCTGCCTTTTCCCCTAGCGTGTGTAGCTGTCCTCAAAGCCATGGAGTAATCCTCCTGGTACTTATCTCGGCTATTCTTGGGTGTTAGTCTCTTATTTTGTTACTTTATGTTCCCCAAATCAATGCAATCTTTCTATGTCTGTCCCTCTCTTTTCAAGCGCCATTATTTTAATTTGTTATTAATATCATTTGATTTTGGGCCACACCCAGCGGTTTCAGGGCTTATTCTTGACTCTGTCCTTAGGGATCATTCCTGGGTGAGGCCCCTGGGGAACCCATATGGGGTGCCAGGGATGGAATCCTGGTCTGCCCCGTGCAAAGCAAACGCCCTACCCGCTGTCATCGCTTAAGCCCCCAAATCGTTTCCATTTACACAAAGCAAGATGCCTGTGAAGACGCTGCAACAGCCCCAGTGGGAGTCGGTTGGTTCATTTGGTCTGTCTCTGGGATGCACAGGAGGGATTGTTCGGGGGGCAAAAAAGGGGCGGGCATCAGGGGTCAGTCACGAGGGTGGGTCGGGAACAGAGCGTGAGAGGGAGCTTAGGTGGTCGCACCCCTCGCTCAGGATGGCTACATAGACTTCATGGAGTATGTGGCGGCGCTCAGCTTGGTCCTGAAAGGCAAGGTGGAGCAGAAGCTGCGCTGGTACTTCAAGCTCTACGACGTCGACGGCAACGGATGCATCGACCGGGATGAGCTGCTCACCATCATCAGGGTAACTGCAGGTGCAGGGTGGGTGGGGTGGGAACACCGGGGGCGGGGCCACCGGGGGCGGGGCCAAGGAAGGGCAGGGCCAATGGAGGAGCGGGCCACTAAGGGGGCGGGACCATTGGAAAGGGAGGGGCCAATGGAAGGATGAGCTACTAAAGGGGCGGGGCCATTGAAAAGGCGGGGCCAATGGATGGGGCGGGCCACTAAGGGGCGGGGCCTTTGGAAAGGCGGGGCCAAAGAGCAGAGTGGGCCACTAAAGGGGTAGGGCTATTGGAAGGCGGGCCCAAAAAGCAGGGCCAATGGAGAAGCGGACCACTAAGGGGGCGGGACCATTGGAAAGGAAGGGGCCAATGGAAGGATGAGCTACTAAAGGGGCGGGGCCATTGAAAAGGCGGGGCCAATGGATGGGGCGGGCCACTAAGGGGCGGGGCCTTTGGAAAGGCGGGGCCAAAGAGCAGGGTGGGCCGCTAAAGGGGTGGGGCTATTGGAAGGCGGGCCCAAAAGGTAGGGCCAATGGAGGGGCAGACCACTAAGGGGGCGGGGCCATTGGAAAGGGAGGGGCCAATGGAAGGATGCGCTACTAAAGGGGCGGGGCCATCGGAAAGGTTGGCCAAAGGCGGGGCTAATGATGGGCCGGGCCAAATAGGGGGCGGGGTCATGAGCGGGACAGGGGCGGGGAGGGGGGGGGCGGGAGGAGCTGGCAGGCCACTGGGAGAGTCCCTGGGAGAGCGTGGCCGCTGGAGGGACCGCCAGAGGGGCTGGGCAGTGGGAGTCTTGGGCGAAGTGAGAGACCCAGGTCTTGGATTAGAAGTGGGCAAGACTGGGTCCACAGTCCTGTTGCTGGGGTCACCCACGTCCTTCCATTCCCTGAGCCTCAGTTTCCCCATCTGTGCCCGGAGACTGTGGGCGCTCATAAGTCCCGGATCTAGCCCTGCTCCGGGCTCTCTCGGGAGCCGGGGCGCGCGGGCTGGCCCACTCCCACCCAGAGCTGGAGTGGATTGACTCAGTGCCTCCCCTTCTCCCCAGGCCATCCGTGCCATTAACCCCTGCAGCGACTCCACGATGAGCGCGGAGGAGTTCACGGAGACCGTGTTCTCCAGGATTGACGTCAACGGGGACGGTGAGGAGCCCTAGGGTGCCGGGAGAGGGAAGCACCGCCCTCGCCAGCTTGCCGCCCCTCAGCTGTCGTTCATTATTATTATTATTATTATTATTATTATTATTATTTCTAGGGGGAGGGTAGCACCCAGCGATGCTTAGGGGTTTCTCCAGGCTCTGCACCATATGGGGACCATATGGGATGCTGGGGCTCAAACCTGGTTAAACCACGTTTGCAAGACAAGCAGCCTCCCCGCTGTTACTATCTCTCCAGTCCCTGTTATTAATTATTTTAATAATTATTATTTTGGGGGGAGGGTTACACCCAAGTGATGCTCAGGGGCTACTCCTGGCTCTGCACTCAGGAATTTCTCCTGGTGGTGCTCAGGGGACCAGATGGGATGCTGGGAACTAAACCCAGGTTGGCCAAGCAGATGCCCTCCCTGCTGTACCATCACCCTGGCCTCTCAGCTCTCCTTTTTTTTTAGGGATTCCCGGCCCCAGGCTCTGCCTGTCCCACTCACAGCTACTCCCCCCAGCACTGACTCGGACCCCCTTTGCCAGACTCCTGCTGGAGGCGATGGCGGGGTAGGGGGTCCTGACCTCAGAGGCGAAGTTCTTCTTCCCTGCCGCCCTTTCTCCCGACAGGGGAGCTGTCCTTGGAGGAGTTCATGGAGGGCGTCCAGAAGGACCAGATGCTTCTGGACACGTTGACCCGGAGCCTGGACCTCACCCGCATCGTGCGCAGACTCCAGAGCGGAGTGCAAGAGGAGGAAGGGGCTGGCAGTGGGGGTCCGGCGCTCTCGGATGAATGAACCCGCTGCCCCGCTGCCTCCGGACTGGGGAGGGCGCGTGTGCTGGTGCCCCCGAGCCAGCACTGTTATTTTCATTTGTTTCCTATTTCGTTTTGGTTCACTCCCTGCTCAGTGCTCATCGATTGTTCCGGGTGGAGCTTGTAGGACTTTGCAGAGATCAAACCCAGAGTTCCTGCATGCAAAGCAAGGGCTCGAGGCCTTTGAGCCATCTCCCTGGCTTCCAGCGTGGTTATCCTGATTCCAGATAGGATCTGCTTAGGTCAAAGGCCCAGTGGGTCTCTTGGGGCAGCGAGGGGCAAAGGCAGGAGTGAAGACCAGAGGGGACAGTGAAGGATGAGTGTGACTCTCTGGGTGACTCAGTCCCTGGGTGGGTGCCTTCAGCATCCCTCCAAGCCTCCAGGCTTTCCTGTCCAGCGTCTCCACCTTCGCCCTGGATATAGACTTTCCGAAGCCCAGCTGGACTGGGGGTGGGCAGTGGGCGGACCTCCACCCAGCACTGCATCCACACAGAGGCCCTGCCCCATGATTGTGGGGTTCACTTGTGAGGTCTTTGGGGCTCATTCCTTTAGCAAGCATCTCCCGGACACCCACAGCATAAACCCTAGATGCTACCGTGCAGGGATCTCAGGCTAATGGGGAAGCAGGTGGACCAGCAGCGTTAAAGGAAAACGTGGAGAGACACTGGAGAGATTCCTGCAGGGCAGGGCGTGCGAGCCAGTCTACTGCAGACGTAGCCCTTGACTCTGAACGTGGAGGAGGTATTAGGGGGTGCAGGTGGGTACAGTGATGGGGAAGGCGCCGGAAGTAACTTGTGCGTGAGTCGCACTTGGGGAGGGTGATGGGGGAGAGAAATTTCCTTAGGTGTAAATTGCGGGTATTGTGTCAGATTTTATTTTATCAAGTTTAAAACAATAAGGGGTTCTTGTGTCCATTTTTAGGGAGCACCTCCTAGGACTCCAGAAATAGGTTAAAAAAGAAAATCTTTTGAGGTTGGAGAGAGTTATATAAGGGTTATATAAGGGTTAAGGTGCTGGCCTGCATCCAACTGATCCCGGTTCAACCCCGGGCACCCTATGATAATAAATGAAAAGCAAAAATATGAGTCTTGTCGTCTTGGTAGGAGCTCTGACAAGTTGAAGGAGCTTTTCTTTTTATTTTGTTGTGGGAGGCACACCTGGAGGTGCCCAGGGCTTATTCCTGGCTCTGTGCTCAGGGGTCACTCATGTCAGAGCTTCCGGGACCGTTTGGAGCACCTGGGATCAAACCCAGGTTGGCGTCACGCGATGCAAGCACCTTATCAGCTGTACTATTTCTCTCATTCCCAGATACAAGTGTTTGGCAGTACAGATATGAATCATGACTAAATGATCAGTCATGGGGTGTGTATAAGTGTGTTTTGAGTGTGCACAAGTGTGCATGTCTGTGTATGAGTATATGTATATGCATGAGTGTGTGTCTATGGGTATGTCTATAGGTATATGTATCTGTGTGAGTGTCTGTGTGCACCTGCATATATGATGTGTGCATGTGTGTATGTGTGTAATTGTGTGTGTATGTATGCCCATGTATTCAGGGATTCTTGGTTTGTTTTTTGTTGTTGTTGTTTTGCTTTTTGAGTCACACCCAGCGATGCACAGGGGTTACTCCTGGTTCCTGCACTCAGGAATCACTCCTGGCCTTGCTCAGGGGACCCTATGGGATGCTGGGAATCGAACCGGGTCGGGCCACGTGCAAGGCAAAACACCCTACCCGCTGTGCTATCGCTCCAGCCCCCATGTATTCAGGTATTCTTTTTCTTTCTTTTCTTTTTTTCAGGCATTCTTGAAAGGCTGTTTCTGTTATTTTGGTCCAAGAGTGACAGAAGGTCAGTGTGGCCACAGAGTTCTCCTTTATCCCCAGGAAGCCCGAATCGACTAGAGGCAACTGTGGAAAGCCTGTGACTTCTGCTGGTCCCTGGGGCTTGGGGCCATGTGGCTCCCCTCGGGTCTGCGACTCCGTTGTTTATAGCCAGTGTCCTGACCACTCCTGCTCTGACCCATGTCTGTCCTGCAGGGCAGTGACAACTGATACCACTCAGGGGCAGTCTGTTCCAGGCAGCCCCTGTCCCCACTCATTGCTTACCCCAATTTTCGGCACATCAGTGGACACTTGGAGCTACCCAAGAACTGTGAGCCAGAGGAGTCTTTGTTTCAGACGCTTCTCCTGCGTTTTGGTTCTTTCCTTGGGCTGAGGGCAGGGAAACACCAGGAGGAAGATACTCAGGGGTGCGAGGGAGAAAATTGGGCTGGGGGGCCCCAGGTGGAGGGAGCCCTTTGGGGCTGAGGTTGCAGTATGCTCACCCCTGTCCTGTCCACTGCTTAGTACCCCGGAGACTGGGAGTCAGCCAGAGCCTGAGCAAAAAGCCCGGAGAAGGACTGGGGGTGCGGGCAGGGCCGGGCATCCTGGGAAGGGTGGAGTGAACTGGAGTGGACATTTTCCCTCTGTCACCTGGAGGTTTCCTCCTGGGGGCTGCGAAGGTCAGAGCAGGGGCTCAGGAGAGATTAAGAACCTTTCCTCAGGGGCGACAGAGATGCTTCAGCGTGGAGGGCATTCGCTGACCCAGGTTATCCTCCCGGAGCCCCGTATGATCCTCTGAGCCCCATCAGAAGTAATCCCTGAGCTCAGCGGCAGGAGTAAGCCCTGAGTAGTGCCAGGTGTGGCCACAAACAAACAAAAAAATAGGAAAAAAAAAAAGGAACCTCCCCAGCCTCACACACATACCACCATCATGCCATGGAGCGGATCTTGGTCCCACCTGCATTACTATTTGAGTTCCTTTTTGTTGGGTTTATACCTAAGAAAAGCCTTATATTATTATTTTTTTGTAGGAGTACTGCTATTTATTCAGCCACTGATTAGCTGATTGAATTGGAGTCGTATAGTATTTGTTTGGGAGGGAACCCAGGGCTTCACATGGGCAAGGCCTGCCTGGATTCTACCACTGAGATACATCACAGCCCTTACTATTATTTTCATTTTGTATTTTTTACATTTTTGTTTATGGGTCAGATCACAATACTTGGGTTTACTCCTAGTTCTGTGTTCAGGGATCACTCCTGACAGGGCTTGGGACCATATGGAGTGCCAGGATTGAACCCAGGTTCACGCAAGGCAAGCACCCTACCCTCTGTACCCTACCCTCTGTACTATCTCTTCTACCCACTTACTATTTAATTTTGGGGGGTTGGACCAAACCTGGTGATGCGCAGGGCCTGCTCCTGGTTCCGTGCTCATGAGTGACCTTGGGGTGCTTCAGGGACCAAATGTGGTGCCGGGAATTGGAGGAATGCAAGGCAAGTCTTAACCCCTGTATTATCTCTCTGGCTGGATTTTTAAAAAAATTTTGCTTTTGGGGTCACACCCGGCGATGCACAGGGGTTATTCCTGGCTTATGCAGTCAGGAATTACTCCTGGAGGTGCTTGGGGGATCATATGGGATGCTGGGAATCGAACCCGGGTTGGCTGCGTGCAAGGCAAACACCCTACACGCTGTACTATCACTCTGGCCCCTCTGGCTGGATTTTTAATCAACTGTTTTTAAGCTGAATTGGTTTTTAGTTGTGCTCAGAGCTTTTTCCTGGCTCTGTGCTCATGGATCATTCCTGGCGGTGCTCAGGGGATCATATGTAGCACTAGGGGTCAAACTAGGTTGGCTCTGTGCAAGGCCTTACCTTGGGTACTACCTCCTTGGTCCCTAAAATAAAAGAAACTTTTTAGATGGGGCTGGAGCGATAGCACAGCGGGTAGGGCATTCGCCTTACAAGCGGCCAACATGGCCGACCCGAGTTCGATTCCTCCGCCCCTCTTGGAGAGCCCGGCAAGCTACCGAGAGTATTCGATATGCCAGACACAGTAACAACAAAGTCTCCAATGGAGACGTTACTGGGCCCGCTCGAGCAAATCGACGATCAACGGGAGGGCCTTTACCTTTACCTTTTACCTTTAGATGGACAGCATGCCTTGAAACTGCAGCCGGAGTACGTTAGTTTTATTTTTCACATCAACATAAGAACATTCCGGGGCTGGAGCGATAGCACAGCAGGTAGGGCGTTTGCCTTGCACACGGCCGACCCGGGTTCGATTCCCAGCATCCCATATGGTCCCCCGAGCACCGCCAGGAGTAATTCCTGAGTGCAGAGCCAGGAGTAACCCCTGTGCATCGCTGGGTGTGACCCAAAAAGCAAAAAAACAACAAAAAAAACAAAACAAAAAACATAAGAACATTCCTCAGTCCCCTTCCCCGCAGCAGCCAGAATGACTCTCTTTTATTTCTTTGTTTTTAGGGCCTCCCCAGGAAGTGCTCAATAACTGCTTCCAGCCCAGTGCTCAGGGGTCACTCCTGGAAGTGCTTGCGAGACCCATGCGATACTGGAATCAAAGCACGCATTCCAGGCCCTTGAGCTCTTTCCTACTCCAGTACATTTCCCGTTTCTCCCACTTTCTTCTTTTTGGGTTTTGGGGTCACTCCCAGTGATGCTGAGGGGTTACTCCTGACTCTGTATTCAGGAATAACTCCCGGCAGTGCTCAAGAGACCATATGGGATGCTGGTGGTCGAATCTGGGTCAACTGCATGCAAGGCAAATGTCCTCCCCGCTGTCCTATCGCTCCAGCCTTGGTAGGCTTCCCTTTTAATGTAGTTTCTTATTTTTTGCTTGGTTTTGGTCCACAGCCAGGTGTTCTCAGGGCTGACTCCTGGCTCTGAGCTCAAGGGATCACTCCTGGCTGGCTCTGGGGACCATTTGAATTGCTGAAGAGTGAAGCTGGGTGAGAATGTTGCAGAGTCTGCATAACAAAAATAATGTCACTCCTGAAAAGCTAGCAATGGGGAAACAGCTTGTCACACCCACGTGAAGCTTAGAGAAGAGACAAAAGCATCACGGGCCACTTAGAAGTTGGAGGCAGAGGGTGACCGAATAAAGGACTTGGGGTGGGGTGGGGAGGGAAGTGGGCCACACCCAGA